GCGCCTGTGGCTAAGGCGCCAGCCACATACACCTGAAGGGGCAGATTCAAATCCAGCCCGGGCCCACCAAACAACAATACTGGCTGCAACCAAAATAGCCAGGCATTGTGGCGGGCACCAGTAGTCCCAGGTACTTGGAAGGCAGAGGCAGGAGAATTGCTTGAGCCAGGAGTTGGAGGTTGCTGTGGGCTGTGATGCCATGGCACTCTGCCCAGGGCGACAGCTTGAAGCTCTGACTCAAAAAAGAAAAAAAAATCAAAGTCTCCACGACCAGAGGCTGGGGTACAAACTTTTTATAAGGTACTTTTGGTAGGGAAGGGGGAGTCCTTGACACAAGCCAAGTTTCATAAAAGCCAAAACCTGCAAGGTTACATCTATAGGATAAGGGGAGTGCTTACAAAATCACAGGATTTTGTGGGTTTTGCCAAACTGCAGTTTTCAGCTGAGGTTAAAGGGGGAGTTTGAAAGCTCTTAGCAAAGTCCTTAGCAAAATGGAGTAAGTCTGTGCAAAATGGAGTTAGGGCATTACATTCTTTATATCTTAGCCTTAATCTCATTTATTTTCTACTTTCAGTTTCCAACACAGGCACTACTCAGTCACAGATTCCCCCTTCTTTACCCTCTACGCTATCTTCTAACGCACCTCAAGCCAAAACGTCTTTTTTTTCTGTACTACTGCTTGACCTACATATAAGCTTCACAGTGGTTTGCAGTGGCCTCAGCATGGCACCTTTGATCTCTCAATTCTCACTGACCTCAATAATTACTGTCAAAATTAGGCAAATGGTTGGAGATCCCTTATATCCAGGCATTTCTCATGCTCCGAAACCTTCCTTCCCTGTGTTCATCCTGTGAACCCTCTAGGATTCTCCTGGCACACGTAACACCAGCTTCTCCTGATACCCTTCCACAGCCCCTCCTGCTCCTTGCCAACCCCTCTCCTACAATCCCTCCATTCTCTCAATCAGAACACCCAGAAATTTCTCAGCGTGAGAGACCTCTCTTCCATCTGAAACCTATCTGTCACCCATTCTCATTGCCCTCCAACCCCCACAACCATTATCTTCCCTTAAACAATACCCCATTGCCCCTCTCTCCACCACCTCCCAACCACCCTCCACCACACATGGTAGGAAAAAGGCAGAATTTCCCCCAGGGCCTTCAGACCTCCCAGCGAGATCTCATTGACCTGGCCTTCAGTGTGTAGCAGTGCCTCTCAGAGCTCCAGTATTGGCTTCTGCCATTAAGCAAAACTCAGCTACTTCCTAAAACTCAGCCAGGCAATGGGGGAGGGAGAGGGAATCTTCCTCATGATTATGCTTTAAGTGCAGCAAACCAGGCTTCTGGGCAAAGCAGTGCCCCAAATCCAAGCCACCCTCCTTCCCAGCCATGTCCAGCCTGCAGAGATCTGGTTGCACGGGTCTTTCTAAAGATCCAGTGCAAACACTCAGAATAGCTGAAGTTCCCTCCTGAGCCTAGCTGCATAAGACTGACAACCCCTGGAAATCAGAATGCCTCCTGAATGCCGTCCTGGAAAACAACTCTAAATATTTTCACTTATAGAAGGTAAGCCAATCTTTTCTCTTTTCTAAGAAACATGGGAACAACTTCATCCATGCTGCCACCTTGTAAAATTCCTCTAAAAACAGGCAGAGATCTCAGTAATGTCCTCTCAGGATTGCTGGCAGCCCTGACAACTCCAACTGGTTCCCTCCTCTCACTGTCCATCATTGGACATTGTCTGATAAGGTCACTAATTATGATTTTTTCTCATTCTCAGTTTTGAACTTCTGCCTCATGTCTTGGTTCATTAACCAGTCACCTGCAAACAACCCCTCACATCCTTGCCTTACTGGATACCAACCAGCTCAGACTGAAAAAGCCAGAGAGTTCCTGTAAATGCGGCTCCCTTCCCTCACTCCCCTCCCCTCCCATTCTCCTTACAGGCAGCCTACACAGCCCATACCCCCAGGAAGTAGCCAAAGATACCACGCCCATCATCCCATCCTCTTATAATAAACTAAAAAGGCTGGAATGATAGAATCAGGTGTAACCACCCAAAGAGACCTGTCCCACTCTGGCGAGGCTGACCTGACCAGGTAGAATTAACCCACCCAGGAAGAATCGAGCATATGTCCCTCCCAGGAAGTGGTGGACGGACCAATCCTTGTCTCCCCTAGCCCTTTAAATCTACTGTCCACCATTACCCACATATTTTCTTCCCTGTTGGAGATCTCACCCCACCTGCACCCCGGTGGAATAAAAGCCATTTAAATTGTACAAACTGGGACTCTGTTTTCCTTTCATCTCATGCCTCAGAACAGTCTTTGATCTTTGGTTCCCTAACCTTTCACTTAGCATTAAAAAGGTGTGCAAATATGGTCCCAAAGGAGCTCACTAATGAACAAAAGCAAAAGAGAGTTGAAGTTTGCGGAGACCTTTCAGAGAGGAAAGACGATGTTTTGGGCAATATGATCAAACATGGGTATACCAATACAACCCTGAAACTAAGCCTCAAAGCACACAGTGGAAATCAGCCAATTCTCCATGGCCAAAAAAGTCCTGCAGGTCCAAATCAAGAGTCAAAATGATGCCGCTAACCCTTTTTGATATCAGAGGATTACTCATTATTAATTTGTACATTTAACCATGTTTACTATTTGCAAGTGCTAGTAAAAGTGCTAGACTTTTTCTGCATGAAAAAGTCAGACAAAAATGACCTGAACTTTGTGCCAACAATTCACAGTTCTTGCATCATGACAGTGCACCAGCTCACATGGCACTATCTGTGAGAGAGTTATTAGCCAGTAAACAAATAACTGTATTAGTCACTAGCCCCCAGTGACTTGTTTCTTTACCTAAAGATAAAGGAAATATTGAAAGAAAGACATTTTGATGATATTCAGAACACCAAGCATAATACAACAGCTCTGATGGCCATTCCAGGAAAAATAGTTCCAAAACTGCTTTGAAGGGTGGGTGGACTAGGCATTGGTGTCAGAAGTAGCTTCCCAAGAGTACTTCAAAGGTGAGGGCAGTGATATTCAGCACTGAGGTATGAAGCACTTTCTCTAGGATGAGTTCACAAACTTACTTGACCTCATAATGGAGAGTATACAGTGCTCTGCACAGAATGATGCTTGATAAATGACATCAGAGAATTCAGAGACCTTTTTATTAAATATGTAAAAAATAGTTCTCATTGTACAAGCTCAAAATCAGACAAATGTATATGAGTATATAAAGTGACATAAACTGTATCCACCCAAAAACTCACTGCGGACACAATCTATATATTACATTCAACGTCTGTATGTTTACAAGACACTGCAAAATAAAGAGAAAATAAACTCTGATTATTTCAGTGCAGTACACATGTGATGTAGTTTCAAAACAAAGGCAATTTTTTTTAGTCAAAAAACCAGAAGCTTCCTAAATACCAATTCACTATTTTGTGCAAAAATACAGTTAAGACTAATTGTCAGGGTTCCATTCAGGTTTAATCAGTAAGATATGTTTTTATGTTACTAAAATACAGCTAAGTTTTAGGTTTTAATTATCAAGATAGCAGCACTTCCAATTCACAACTGGCCTCAAAATAGTAGTTGCTAATATATATTCATTTGAAGACATTTTTTAAAAGTCTTCAAAACTTAATATAATTCTAAAAGTATACATGCTTTGCTGTTCATTCAATATACATTTATTTTAAAATGGGTCCCAAAAGTTCAATTAACTAACCTGAATTCTGCACCTATTTCTTGTCTGCTAAGGTGAAGTCTTAAATCTGACTATATCAAAAGCAGTTCAGAATTTATTTCATAAGATGAATCCCAAGTTATTGGGTAGCTTTTAAGCTGTTTTATTGCTTATAAATTTAAATCTTTAGATACGAGGGTGCCCTTATATGGAGATTATCTGGGGAGCTCTTTAAAAATACATGGGTTCCACATCTTCACTAATGACCACAAATCCAGAATGTCTGTATTTTTGTTTTAAGTTCCCAGGTGATAATACTATGCAGTTTAGTGTGGGAAACCCTGACTCAAACTGTTAAACCTGTGGTTCTCAACTTTTAAGGTACATCAGAATCACTGATTCTGTGGGAATCACTGTGGGAAACTTTAAAAACAAAGAAAAACAAACAAAAAATCCAGGTATGCTTCAGTAAATTTAGAGTAAATTCAGAAACCAGCTTTTAAACAACTATTGCAGTTGGTCTAAAACCACTCTGAGAAACAAGACTTGCCTTTGTCAGAGTGTAAATGAGTACATTCAGCAGTTTAGGTGGCACTGTCCTGGAAGCCCGAATATATCAGGCCTTAGGCAGTTTCAGCAAGTGTTTGAGGGCAACACCTAGCCTTTTCAAATAAAATATATTTAAAGTAAGTGAATTGTGACATTGTAATTCATTCATTAAAGAATGGAAAGGCTCTTCTGAACAAACTATTTAAATCTTCTAGCTCTTACCACTCAAATCTAATGCTTTCTCCACCAATAGCCTGGTATGTGATCAGAGGTAGTGATTCCAGCTTACCAAAAATGTAATACAAGTTATAAAAGATACATATTCTCATCATACACCTTCATAGGTTCTGTACAGTCCCTATGTAATAGGAGACCAGTTAGATATTGAACAATACTAAAACAGTGAATAACATATTCTCGATTTTAAACAATGAAACTTCATACTATTTTCTTCACATAACAAGTTCCTACATAAAATATCAGGAAAAAATTCTAGAAAACACTAAAGATCTCATGCTGTCTCTTTTGTGAAGCTATTTACTAATTTTCCCCATTCCTATCATTAAGTGGGTAGTGGATACATACCATTCCACTTTATGAATTTTGTAAAAGCACAGAAACTATATCTCAGTGTGTGATGACTATTGCTAAGTATTATAAATATATAAGCTCATTTGAGTGAGCTTATCAAACTTTAGGAATAGATGTAATCTATAATACTTTGAACCCAAAAGGTACAGAAGCAGCAATAACACTAAGCAGAGAGAGAATATGGTTAGTAGAATCTATCTGGCATCTTACTTTACATAAATCATGTCTGAAGAGCTGTAATATCCCGTGCATGCACTTTTTACAAGGCTTACCCTACCTCTTTTCCAGGGGCATACGTGATTATATAGTAGGCATTTCTTAACTAGGCAATGAGAAGACTAATTACCAAAATTCAGCATTGTATTGCCAGAAAGGCAAGTTATTTCACAAAATAAGAAATGGAAACTGAAATCTACATTAAGAAGCTAAAAAATTTACACTAATTTTAAAACACTAGACTTGTAACAAACTATTTTCTAGATTACAAATGAGGCCAAATAATAATGAATTTTAAAATTAAACAAACGTTGAAGAAATTACATAAAAATATCAAAACCAAGTGACATTGTGCATGCTGGTTAGAAAGAAAGGCTTTTGAATGTCTGAAATGAAGATATGGAGAAACCATAATCATGGTATAAGGCACTACCTCAAGTTCAGTCAACACATTTAAATTGCTTAATCCAAATATTGAATGGGGAAGAAAACACACAAATACAACTTTTCATGTCCTTTTAGCTGGTCTGGCAGTTAACTGCTTTTCTCGTTCAAATTCCTTCTCTCGTTGCTGCTCCCTTTCCAACTCTTCTTTCTGCCTCTTCTGCTGCAGTTTAAGGGCTCTTTTCTGCATCAAGAAATTTAAATGTAAAACCAACAGAGCAATCAAGGTTTACGGGTTCTGGCCTAACTCAAACACAACAACAGTGTTTTGAATTGAGGTAATCAATACATATTAATAAATTTAATATTTAACTTTTAAATTCATTTGGAATAATTTAAGGTCCCCTTGATTCAAAAAAGATTTGTTACTCTAAACTCCTATTAAATGAGAACTGCAGAAAATATCCAAAGAATATGCCCTAGCAGCCCAGTGATTAGTAAAGAGGATCAGAGTGGGGTTCAAATATGTGACATTTCTAAAAAGGAAACAATGTATCCTGAATTAAGGATGCTATCATACATGGAGAGACAAAAAGTCAAAATATAAACATGAAGAACAATAAACTTCTACTTTTATAGAGAACGTAAAACAATCTTCAACTTACTTTTAGCTTTGAGGTTTTTTCGTGAAGCATTAGCATCTCTTTCCTTATAGTCACCAGTTTGGCATGATAGTGTTTAGCCTCCGTGAACTTAACACAGGAAAAAAAATGAAAAGTGAGAACAGACTCAACTCTCAAAGTGGGTAAATAAGGCAATGCCTATATTACAGTTCATTCTTCCCATATGGGTCAAATTTTTTAGAGTCTTAATTATCTCCACATTTTAATTCTAAAATAAATTCTATTAAATTGGATACAGACAACATTTTGCTTAAAAAACATGCTATATAATCCTAAAATTTCAGTAAGACTATCTAATAATGTTTATCAGTTTCATTTAAGAAAAGTAAAACATGCTCTATAGCCTTTATGAGGAAGAAAAAAATTAGCCAAGGTACATGGTTAAGTAAAATGTCAGCCCTTCAGGAAAACCCAAGCTGGCCAGACAGCCCTGAGAGGACTGTGGGCAAGTTCAGTCCTGTTCTGTGGGATTTTGAAGTCAGACCAAGAGGAACAACTTCTATGAGAACACTTTGCTTCCCAAGAGTTGTACGTATAGTCTTTATAGCTCAGCCAGCCTATATAGCCTAAAATGAAGTTTCATGTCAGAAGAAGATGGAAGGATGATACAACCTTAGAGAAGTATGAGAGAAAGGGGGGAAAGGATCTTATTTTCAATAACGGAAAAAGAACAAATGAAACATGTGTCAGTAGAGTGATTTGTAACCTTAATATGGTTGCAAGTGAAGTCACAGTCTGGGCACAGAGTGGTAGCTCATACCTGTAATTCTAGCACTTTGGGAAGCCCAAGCAAAAGGACTGCCTGAGCCCAGGAGTTCTAGACCAGCCTGGGGAACACAGAGAGATCTCCTCAAAAAATAAAAAACTTAGCAGCCATGTGTGGTGGTGCAACTACTTGGGAGGCTAAGGCAGGAGGACTGCCTGAGCCCAGGAGTTTGAGGTTACAGCAAGCTATGATGGTATATCACTGAACCCTAGCCTGGGCAACAGAATGAGACCCTGTCTCAAAAAAAAGAAAGTTGTAATTTGATGAGCTTTAGAACTTTCTATAGATCTTCCTTATATTCTTTTAGGCTTTCCACTTTTTAGTTCATAGATGATAATCAAAACCACTCTTGGCTGAAAAAGAAAAAAGAGAAAGACTCCTTTCTGCTCCTACAGACTAAACCAACAGTTATTACATCTGCTTGGTTCATTCTTTCAACATTCACTCATTCAACAAATATCCTTCCACTGCAATATGAACTCAGTGGGGAACACAAAAGGAGGTCCATGTAGCCTTGCCCACGTCCTTCACAAGAAGCAGGACTACAGAGAAAATGACTCTGTGTTTACTACCACAGGTCCCTGTCTAATGATAAAGAATACGGACTTTCTTTTTGACGAGTCTAAAAAGAAAACATTAGTAAGCCACTGTTGTTCAATGAAAAACTCATTTTTGAGGTTCATCTGAATGGCCACAAAATCATGCAAACAAGCTATTCTTAAAGTTCAAGGGAAAAAGAAAGGCAGCAACAAGTTCCTTATTTTTGTTAATTCCCTGTTTCTTAAGAGTATCAGTTCCTCTCATGAAAAAGCTATAGAGCTTCTGATGAAATTCAACTATTCATACTGAAAAATAAAACTGATCATTCTCAATGTGTCATTTCAGCCCATAGTGCTAATTTATTACAGCAATATGAATATGCCATATTTAAAATTATAATTTAAGAAATCATGTAATTGGTAAAGAGAAATACACTTTCCTTAAAGAAAAAAATAATACCTTGAAGGCCTTAGTTTCAGTTCTCTTAGAACAGATCTATTCCAGATCCATAAATAAGTTTAATTTCCTATTCTAAGTTCAACATTTGAAAGATAACAATTCAAGACAATGGAAGTTCTAGTAAGCAAATCAAGGTTTCCTGATAAAAAGAATTCTCAGTTTCATTTTAAAAAAGTAAAGCACTCTCTACTGCCTTTATAAGGAACCAAGCAGATGTAACTACTGTTATTTTAGTCTGAAAAGGACAGAATGGAGTCTTGCTCTCTTTTCTTCTCTTGGCCAAAAGTAGCTTTGATTATCATTTAGGAACTGCAAACTGGAAGGCCCAGAAAGATATAAAAAGTGCCTATAAGTTCTAGAGCTCACAGACTATGACTTTATTGGCAGCTATGTTAGGTTGCAAACCTCTCTACTGACACATCTCTCTTCTTCTTTTACTATTATTTTATTCAAAAATGAAGTGCTGTTTTCCCTTCTTTCTTACATCTCTAAGCCTGCACCAACCTTCCATCTTTTCCTAATGTGAAATTCTAAACTTTAAAAATTAGACAAGTCCCTAAGTATGCATATAAGTACATAGTTGGGAGGCTAAACCTAGCTATTTCTAATACAAGATGTCATTAAGTTACATCAACTAAATCATACTCACCAAAGCATTAATATCCAACATAGAATGACATTCTTTAAATTTTGAAATTTCTTGTTCCAGTGTGTCTAATAATACAACTTGGTTCTGTCTGAAACAAGAGCACATAACCCAAATCAATTCTACAGACTGTTAAGTTCTGGTTCCTTAAAAGGAATCACGTTCATCTTGGTTAATGATAATAATTAGAAAGTACAGGCTTATTTGGTTTAGTATAATCTTTTTCAAAACAATATTCAAAAATTACATTCTGATAATTAAGCATATCTTTTATTCTTGTCCCAATTTCAGATTCTAATAACTAAAATGATCAAATCATTTAAAAGTATCTTATTAGTTTTTTTTAGCAACTCTGCCTATTCCAGTGAAGTTTTTTAGGTTATTTTGCCCAAGAAACTCAATGTTTTATATATCTTAAAACTGCAACATTCCCATAAAGGAAATTAAGAGCAAAGACTTCAGATTGTAGTTGGGAAAGATTCAGTATCAAGGGATAATAAGTTAAACAACATAAATGAGCAACAAGATGAAAAAAGCATAGGACTAAAACTCACAAGCTTTCCCCTGCCAACAGCCAGTTGTGTGATCTTAGAAATTCAGTTTATTTCTCTGGGCCTAACTCTCTTCATTTATAAAGTAAGAAGAAGGTCAGACCAGACAACTTCTAACATTCTTCATTAAAACTCTGACTTAAAACCTATTCAGGAACAGAAGCCAACTTCCCTAATATTCCTTTCCAGATCAGTCTATGTTAGGATCACAAGAATAAGTGACACTAAACATAATTGAAAATGTTACAGAATGCTATAAATGAAAAATATGTGATTTTTCTTGCAAAACTATGCTAAATAGAGCACAGCGATGTAAAAGAAGTAGCAATGAAAAGACTTACATACAACATCTCCGCCATACAGCATTGAGTCCCTGCAGTTCATTAATTTGTTCCTTCAGTTCAGACTAGAGACCAGAGAAAGTGAAATACAGAATGGTTGACAGGAAAACCCAGCAAGTCAACCATCCAAGGTAAGGAGGACAGAAAAGCAGGCCACTACAACTGGAAAAATAATAGAAAAATCAACAAAACCAAAAGCTGATTCTTCAAAACATCAGTAAAATTAATAAACCTCTAGTCAGAACCAACAGGAAGAGAAAAGACACAAATTACTAGTATCATTCATGAAAGAGTGGTCATCACCACTGATCGCAATGACATTTAAGGATAATAAGGGAATACTTTCAATAACTCTAGGCTAGGCGGGACATGATGGCTCATGCCTGTAATCCTAGCATTCTGTAAGGCCAAGACAGGAGGATTCTTTGAGCTCAGGAGTTTGAGACCAGCCTGAGCAAGAGTGAGACCCCATCTCTACTAGATAAAAAAAAAAAAAAAATTAGCTGGGCATACAGTACTAGCTACTCAGAAGGCCAAAGTGGGAGGATTGCTTGAACACAGGAGTTTGAGATTGCTGTAAGTTAGGCTAATAGCACAGCACCCTAGCCTGGGCAACAGAGTGAGATGGTCTTAACAAAAAAAAAAAAACAACTATGTTTACAAATTGGATAAATTGAACTAACTCCTTGAAAGATACAAACTAGCAAAACTCACACAAGGAAGAATAGAAAATCTATGTCAACCCACATTTATTAGACAAAGTGAACCAATGTAATAACCTTCCAAAAAAGAAACTACCAGGACCAGGATTCACTGATAATCTCTGTCAAACATTTAAGGAAGAAATGATACCAATTCTCCACAATCACTTCTGGAAAATAGAGAAGTTCCCCTTTATCTCTAGTTTCTTTTTCTTTCGTTTTAGTTACCCTGGTCAACCAGAATCTATAGAATTATCATCTCACATTTATCACAAGAAGTATGAGGACAGTACAATAAGAGATCAGGGGGCATTATATTCACATAACTTTTATTACAGTATATTTTTAAAATTATTCTATTGTTAGTTATTGTTGCTAATCTCTTACTGTGCCTAATTTAAACTTTGTCAGAGATATGTATAGAAAAACATAGTATATACTGGTTAAGCATCCCAAACCTGAAAATCAAAAACTTTTTGAGTGCAGAATGACACCACTAATGGAAAATTCCACACCTGTCCTCATGTGATGCGTCAGTTAAAACTGTTTCCCACACAAAATTATTAAAAATATTGTAGAAAATTACCTTCAGGCTATGTGTATAAACATGAATCATGTTTAGGCTTAGCTCCCATCCCCAAGATATCTCATTATACAGGTATATACAAATACAATAGAACCTCTGTAAAATGACCACTGAAGGGACTGTAATAAACTGGTCAATACACAGAAGTGGTCAACACAAGGAACGAGGCCTACTGTACTGATACATGCATGGGATACATGTCCAGTCTAAGAAAATTAGGTCAACTTAAAGAGGTGGTCAACTATAAAGGTTCTACTATATTCCAAAATCTGAAAAAAATCCAAAATTTGAAACACTTCTGGTCTCAAACACTTTTTTCCTAAAAGTAGAAAAAAAATAGCCAGGGGTTGTAGAGGGCACCTCTAGTTCCAGCTACTCATGAGGCTGAGGCAAGGGGATTGCTCAAGCCTAAGAGTTTGTGGTTGCTGTGAACTACAAGACCATGGCACTGTACCCAGGGCATTAGAGTAAGACTCTGTCTCAAAAGAAATATATATATATATATATATATATATCTCTTTGTTATCCTGAAACTTGGGTAGGTTACTTTTACTTTATATCCATACTGCCTGTGCCTCTCTAGTTTTTTGTTTGTTTTTCAGTTTCCACTCACTTTTGCTTTTGGTTATCACCATGCTTTGGCTGAACTTTCTAGCTCAACCAAGTAATTGAACCAGGTCAACCGCTTTCCTATGTACCAGCAATGAATTTGAAGTTTAAAATACCATTTATAACTGCATCCTCCTCCCCAATGAAATACTTCAGTAAAAATAACAAAATAAGTACAGGATCTATAATCAAGAACTAGAAAACTCTAATGAAAAAAAGTCAAAGACCTAAAATAATCCAAATATATATATTACATTCCAAAAATACACCTTATATTTTTAAGATATAAATTCTTTCCAACATCATCAAAGATTCAATGCAATATCAATCAAAATCCCCAACAAGTTATCACGTAGTTATCAACAAACTGTTCTTAAATTCCTATGGAAAGGCAAAGACCAAAAATAGCCAACACAATACTAAAGAAAAGGCTGGAAGACCCACAGTACCCACTATGAAAACTCACTATAAAGCTGCAGAAATCAAGACAGCATGGTACTGGTGAAGAGACAGACATACTGATCAATGGAACAGAACAGAAAGCCCTTAAATAAACCTATGCAAATAAGTAAACTTCCCTGACAAAGGACCACAGGGTTGCAGTAGAGAAAGAATAGTCTTTTCAACAAATAGCTCCAGAGTAATTAGATGTCCATGTCCAAACAAATAAACCTAGACACATACCTTATGCCCTTATTGAATAGGGACAAGAAAGGGGGCTTCAAGAGAATGGAAATAAAGTCTAGCAGCCAAAATAGGAAGTCTAAAAGGAGCCCAGGAATACACAAAGGGTAAGGAACATAATGACTCAGTTAGCCAATTATACCCTGTTAACATAGAACAGTTTCTAGCTTGTGACACCAAGTTGGGAAATGGTCACACTTGTGGAACACTGTGTGGGTTCTACAAACATCCCAACTCTAACAATCATACAATCAACAGTAAAAATGGCACTGAATAAGTATCACTAAAAAAAAGAAAAAGGAGGGCAGTGCCTGTGGCTCAGTCGGTAGGGCGCCGGCCCCATATACTGAGAGGGGCAGGTTCAAACCTGGCCCCGGCCAAACTGCAACAAAAAATAGCTGGGCATTGTGGTGGGCGCCTGTAGTCCCAGCTACTTGGGAGGCTGAGGCAAGAGAATCGCCTAAGCCCATAAGTTGAAGGTTGCTGTGAGTTGTGACGCCATGGCACTCTACCGAGGACGACAGGGGGAGACTCTGTCTCTACAAAAAAAAAAAGAAAGAAAAAGGAAAGAATACAGGTATGTGGAAACTAAGGTAATCAATGGCTGATGGAAAAGGCACAAATATGCCCAGAGATACAATGGAACCAATGAGAAAATTTCATAGACAAATCAAAAGGGTAGAGAGAGATACTTATACCTGTGTATTGGCATATATGAGGGTGAAAGCACATTTAGTGAGAATAATATGGAGTCATTCAGGCTAGGGCTGAGACAATGCAGCTGATCTGGTTGGTTTAGGTCCTACGCGACCTTCACCTCATGTCTCCCATTCTTACTGTTTTGTAAATTTAGCTGTTTAGAACAATTGATTCAGGAAACTGAGCCACAGGTGCCCAGCAAAGGTCTCCATCTTTTTTATGGCTGAATAGTATTCCATGGTATACATATACTACAGTTTGTTAATCCATTCCTGGGTTGATGGACATTAAGGTTATTTCCACATCTTAGCAAATATAAATTGAGCTGTGATAAACAATCTAGTGCAAATGTGCTGATGATAAAATGATTTCTTTTCTTCTGGATAGAGTCTAGTAACGGGATTGTGGGATCAAATGGAAGGTCAACTTTGAGTTCTTTGAGAATTCTCCATACTTCTTTCCAAAGAGGTTGTATTACTTTGCAGTCCCACCAACAGCATAAAAGTGTTCCCTTCTCTCAACATCCACGTCAGCATCTGCAGCTTTGAAACTTTGTGATGTGGGCTATTCTCATTGGCATTGAGTGATATCTCAGGGAGGTTTTGATTTGCATTTCTCATGATTAGGGATGGTGAGCATTTTTTCCTATGTTTGTTAGCCATTATGTCTCTTACCCAGTGATAGATGGGATAGTTTATTCTTTTTATGTTGTTTTTTTTTTTTTTTTTGAGACAAGAGTCTCTAGCTGTCGCCCTGGGTAGACAGCTGCTCTGTCACTGCTCACAGCAACCTCAAACTCTTGAGTTTAAGTGATCCTCTTGCCTCAGCTGCCCAAGTAGCTGGGACTACAGGCACCCACAACACCCAGCTATTGGTTAGAGTCGTCATTGTTGTTTTGTGGGCCTGGGCTGGATTTGAACCTGCCAGCTCCAGTGTGTATGGCTGGTGTCTTAGCCGCTTGAGCTACAGGCCCTGACCTCTTTTTATGTTGATCAATCGAGTTCTCTATAGATTCTAGTTATCAACCCTTTATTAGATTCATAGCATACAAATACCTTTCCCATTCTAAAGGTTGTCTATTTGCTTTAATTGTTGTGTCCCTAGCTGTGCAGAATTAAGCTTAATTAAGTCCCAATTGTTATTGTTGCAATTGCCATTGAAGTCATCTTCATGAAAACTAACCCCAGGCCAACATCCATAAGAGTTTTTCCCACATTTTCTTCTAGGATTTTTATCATTTCATATCTTAGATTTAAGTCTTTTATCCATGTTCAGTCAATTTTTGTAAGTGGTATAAGAAGGTCCATTATCAGTCTTTTACATGTGGTTATCCAGTTTTCCCAATACCATTTATTGAATAGAGAGTCTTTTCCCCACTGCATGCTTTTGTTTGGTTTATCAAAGATCAGATGGCAATGAGAGACTGTTTTCTATTTTCTTGTTTTCTATTCTGCTCCATATGTCTGCACTTAAACTTTGATTCCAAGCATCCATAGTAAAGTATTATCCGGATAAGTTTTGCTTGAAGAGTTTCTTACCTTTCTTCAATCTACCACCTCATCCAAACTCCCTCACAAAATCTTATGACTATCAAAATACAAGGTATATCATGTGCTAGAGATAAAAAAAATCTCACTTGGAACTAGCAGAAAACTGAGACTGTTGCCAATTCCCTAACCAGACTAGCTTACATGTAGTCTTAGAATTCAGTACCACATTTATACTCATTTAGCACCTTAACACCAAGGAGTACAAATTCCCTACTAATAATTATAAAATGAGCATAGGTGCTGATTATACCTCTCCTTTTGCCATAATGAAGGCTTCTGAAGTAAGTTTTCAAAGTGTAAGACTTAGACAAGCAGCAGTTCATAGCCAGTTTAAAGTTGACCACTACAGAAAGAAATAATTGGCCAGCCTGGTAATCCAGACAGGTCCTAACCCAGGAGGCAGAAGCTAAGTCTCTCGTCTCTGGAGCTGAAAAAGTCAGACTGTCTATTTTTGTATACTGATCCCATTCCGTGCTACCTTATTCTATTCCTCTCTTAACATACCTTCCAACCCTGTATTTAGCTAGTAGAGTTACCTACTGGGAATGAAACAGTCACCTAAAAAAGATACTTAAGGATATCTGGCAATTCATTTGAACCAGCAAATGAAACAGAGGCAATTTTTCAACTCTACTAAGAAATAGGTGTATACAACACCCAATAGACAAAGTGTTCATAAAAACTAAGGAGTATTTATCTCACTTTTTACATTTACATTACTATATACTGTTCTACTCTTATTTGCTATCACTAAAGCTATTCAGGAGGCTGAGGCAAGAGAATCGCCTAAGTCTAAGAGCTGGAGGTTGCTGTGAGCTGTGATGCCACAGCACTCTACTGAGGGCAACAAAATGAGACTCTGTCTCTAAAAAGAAAGAAATGCTCAATTATGATTGAATGTTACAAAATATTTACCTTAATACAGTATGCAATTATACAGTAAACTGTGAACATGCCAGAGAGGAAAAGAGTGCACATCTGGTTGTTAGCTTACGTGAGTTCTTGGAGGGCTTGTTTCGATCTCTGCAGATCTGGCAAATAATGAGAAAGCAATCCTTCTGCCAGTTGCTCCACAGCTTTGTCTTCTACAGGCAAGTCCTCTATTAACCCTTCATCTGGAGAAGTGTCACTTAAACCTGTTCCCAAGCAAAAATCAAATTTAGGAGGCCTTTAAGTTGGCATAGTTACTAAAAGGAGGTTAGGAATACTAAGTAGGAAGGAGGCCTACGGTGGTTTGAGAGTCCCCATGTCTACTCTCCCAATGATCAGTATTCTTTTCATTTACCTTCTGAGCTTCCTCTATAAATGGGTACTGCATGCTCAAAAAAAAGTTTTTAAGCTACTAAAAGAAGGTAAAGTCCAGAGTAAAAGCATATTAACACATAAAATTCTGTATGATTACATATTTTTCAGGGCAAAGGATTTATTGTTTTAAATGGATTATTAAAGGGGTTTCAGGCCAAAAAGTGGGTAATAGTCAGTGAACTAAAACATTCTTGTTTATAAAGAAATTATATAAACAAACATGTAATACCTAAAAATGTTTTCATTTTTATGAAAACAAAATAGAGATCAACAATTATTTTGCACATGGCTTAATATATTATTTACACAAGAAAGGGGGGGTCATTATTTGTTAGGGAGGAGAAGAGAGATTTTCTTTCTTTTTTTTGAGTTTCACTATGTTGCCCTCAGTACAGTGATGTGGTGTCACAGCTCACAGCAACCTCAAACTCTTGGGCTTTAAGCAATTCTCCTGCCTCTGCCTCCCAAGTAGCTGGGACTATAGGCGCCGCCACAACAGTGGGCTATTTTTTTGTTGTAGTTGTCATTGCTATTTAGCAGGCCTGGGCCGAGTTCAAACCCACCAGCCACGGTGTATGTGTATGTGGCCAGTGCCCTAACCACTGAACTATGGGCACTGAGCTTTTCCAAGAATTTCTTTTTTTTTCTTTTCTTTTTTTTTTTTTTTTT